ATATATGTGTGTGTGTGTGTGTATTACAGAATCAAACTAATAAATACTGTGTACAATTACCATTGAGGCATTCTATAATTTTTTTGCACAAACTAAGATAAATGAATAAAGACAAAATAATTGACATGAAACATACCCATGGGAGTTCCAACTCCATAACCTTTTGAATCTATAAGGCCTCCGATCTGTGTCAGGTTACAGTTGCGTTGCGTGACAAATTCAATGGTTGTTGACTCCATTAGAAAGGCATAATCAGAGGTGAGTACACGCTGGATACCTTCTTCATTATTTTTGACAAGCACTGACTGGCTCCTGCTATTCATGAAGGCCCACATCTTTTCATAGGTTGGAATTTTGGATTTCTGGGAAAGAACAAAAGTCCCTTTTTAAATCAAAATACAACCAACAAAGCAAATAAATAAATAAAAAATCTTGCAGTTGTTTTGTGTATTATTCAAGTTTTTTAAAACAGCACTGATGAATAAAATAATCTAACAATAACAAAGTAACGTTTGTTTGAATATGATATAATAATGTATAATTGTGAAAGCACTTACAAACTAGATGGTTATATAATATATTTTGGTATTTGCATTCATCTTGAACAGATAAGGCATTAGTAATTATTTTTTTACAGGCATTTGTATAGCACCCTCATTTTTTACACAATGCTTTTATATTGATTCACATCAGTCCCTGCCCTCAAGGAGCTTAAAATCTAAAGTCTTATCTCACATACTCACATAGGCACAGAAAGGAGCCAATAAACCTACCGCCGTGTCTTTTGAATGTGAATGTGGGAGGAAACCAGAGTACCCATAAAAATTCACACAAGAACACAGAGAACATGCAAACTCCATGCAGATAGTGTCCCGGTAGGATTTTGAACCAAGGACCCCAGTGCTGCAAGGCAGAATTGCTAACCACTGTGAGTCACTTTGCTCAGTATTTGGTAAAATCAAAATGATTGATGATGGAGTTTGAATCGGGATTGGTACATGATTCTAAATCTATCTAAAGTCCTTATCTCACATACTCACACAGAAACAGAAAGGAGCCAATAAACCTACCGCCGTGTCTTTTGAATGTAAATGTGGGAGGAAACCAGAGTACCCAAAAAACTTGCACAAGAACACAGAGAACATGAATGTGGGAGGAAACCAGATGACCAAAAAAACTCACATAAGAACACAGAGAACATGCAAACTCCATGCAGATAGTGTCCTGGTAGGATTTTGAACCAAGGACCCCAGCGCTGCAAGGCAGAATTGCTAACCACTGTGAGTCACTTTGCTCAGTATTTGGTAAAATCAAAATTATTGATGATAGAGTTTGAATCGGGATTGGTACATGATTGGGAGGAAGGGGGGTTACCAATATAAAATATCAAGTAAACATAGGTATTTCAACTCTTTCACATAATTACAGTTAAATACATGGACATGTTGAGAGTCTTTTGTAAGCGGTACAAAGTAAATTCCTAAAATATAGCTGTAGATTCATGCAATCATCCCAAATTACAATGCGGATATTAAGAGTAGACTATACTGGTTTTGACTCAATTTTCTTTTCTTTTTTTTTACTCAATTTTCTTTTCTTTTTTGAGAGTATAAGATTTTAAATCTATTTTTACATTTATAAGAAATCTTTGTTTTGCAAAAAAATCCTGAGTCTGTGTGCTTGTCTGCTTTTATGTCTTTAACTAAAACATTTAACAGGGGTGGATGGAGTAGGGGGAAGTCACTGCTCTGATTAATTTTCTTGTGTGTTAATTTCAACTTGAGCTATTAAGCTCTATAACCAAAGGACTTCTTCTGGGAAAGCTAATGAAAATACACAGCTTAACATATAGAAACCAAGGTAACATCACACATCTGACAGTTTTCACTACAACAGGTGTCTCCTACAGTAGTTTTGGTAATTGTATTGCCTAACCTTCCACAAATGTAACATGTTAATACCCCCCCCCCCCTCACAATTCTGTCCTGTTGAGCTGTCATGAGGACAAAAAAAACTGAATGAAACTGGTGATAGCAGTCACCAGGAAAAGAAGTAAGAGTGAAATCCCCAAACAGGGGCAGAGGACCCTTTAAAAAAAGTGACAGATGTTCTAATGCCTCCCCACCCTATCTAAAAAAATGTTTATGTTATAGATTTGGTATAATAAAATATAATTCACAAAGCTCCATGGCCATACCGGAAACCGGAAATGACACACAATTATATGCTTGTAAATTTTTTTTTTACTATTTCTGCTCTCCATCTTGTTGTTTTATAACCTACACAAATATTAAAACTGTATTATATGTATGTACTGGCTTTTCAGGGATCCTATCAACTGCTATTGCGTAAACAGAATCACTGCTGTGGAACACAGAGTGCCTAGAGCAGTAAAACACAGCTTTTCCTATTAGATTAGGTAAGAGCACAGCAAACTTAGATAAAATAGGTTGGAATTTAGCCTGCCATGCACGACTCAAATTTCAGCTGATTCCTGCTTAATTGTGGTTGGCACCACGCAGCTACACAACAGTCTATTTCAAAATCAAAGGAGCCAGGTAATAGCCAGCAGCACAGATTCCTCCATCCACTTTGTTTTTGTGGGATAGAGGAAGAGGGGTAGTCATCATGGTACTGTTCCTAGTCCAATTAAAGAACACCTAGTATTCAATAAGAAAAATACCAGGGGTCTGCTGAATGGCCACTGTGCTGAGCAAGCGACACACTGTGTATTATCAGCTGAGGGGAAGTCGCTCAGCGCAGCAGCTGTTCCAGGACCTGGAAGATTGCTCTAAGACACTGTAGTAGTTCTGACTACTACAGTGTTTTTAAGGATTCCCCTTGCTCTACCAGGGATAGCTGGACCAATGAACAGTAAGGCTGTTCAGCATTAATAAAACTTCTAGAGGATTTTAGCAAATGTTAGCCAACAAAGTTGTTTTCTAAAATAAGTGATTGAAATCTAACGTTATTAGACCTTGTATTAAAAATGCTCATTGATATCACACTGACAGTCTAAAAAAATATGTTTTGTCTAATAGATATTAGAGTGACTTTCTAAATCAAATTAATTAAATTAAAGAAATGCAGCATCCAGGAATTATTTTGGCTTTAGCTCAAGTTAAGTTATGTAGCTAATGCTATTTATCAAGATGAAAGACAAATTCAATTCATTTGTTTGCATGAAAACTTAATAATATAACATCATATCCAAACAAGCAATAATATGATGATTGCATATAAAATAAATAGTGGCTTTGTAGGTAACAAAGTTATTAAAAAAACTCTTGTTACAAATATTACTTCTTCTTTTGGTTATTTTTACTTTTTATTTACAAAAGTATAATACACAAATGTTTTTAGAGCGCAACTACTGTATGAATACACTTACGTTTGAGATGTCCCTGTGTCTCAGGAGAAAGTCCTCTGTGATCCCTGTGTAAAACGGGATTTCGCCAGGGTACAGGGTGGCCCTTCACCACATATCTCCGCTTGACAAAGAGGCAAGGACCTCGAAACGCGTAGCGCGATCTGGACCCACTGAGCACCTTTTCTGACGCTCAGTGAGTTCAGCCGAGTTCAACACACCGCGGCCCCTCTGTCCCTAATTGGAGTCTCCCGTGCAGTCAGACCTGCTGTCATTCATCCTGCAGAATACCGCACACTGCTGTTGCAGCCAGGCTTGGCCAGCTCGGTCCACACAGCCTCAGCTTCTGACTCGTCTTGCCAGCCTAAGATCATCCAGGCACGCACCCATCCATCCCACGGTCACTCCACCCTGTACCCTGGCGAAATCACGTTTTACACAGGGATCACAGAGGACTTTCTCCTGAGACACAGGGACATCTCAAACGTAAGTGTATTCATACAGTAGTTGCGCTCTAAAAACATTTGTGTATTGTCGTTTCATACAGGGCCCCTCACCCTGTTTACCATAGAGCTTGCACACTGTTCCATTTTTAACTAATTTTTAACCATTTGAGCCCACATCCCCAAAAGTTGTTACTCCATGTAGTGCGCTTCTCCATACGTTTTATATTTCTTAATTTCTTAATTTACAAAAGTATGCTGTTTATTGAAATTGGTTAAATTGTAGAAAAAATAGTGGTAAAATTAGTTACTCTTTATTAATATGATATTACTACGATGAGGTTTGGGTGTGCTGCTACCATGGGATCACAGCAAATCCTGTGTGTTCAAGAGTTAGTTGTATGCCTTCCTTGGTCTTTCTTTCCTCTTCATAGGTTGCATCATCTCACATGATTTTATAGCAATGTGATGTCTCATGAACATATGCTCCTATAATGTGAGAGGTCTTAATCACCCTTCTAAATGTTCACAAGGAGCAAGTGGATCTGATTTTTTTTTTCAGGAGACCCATTTCACACTGGTAACTTCCCTACTTTCTCTAACAAATATTAATTTTTCTGGTTTCATAGTTGGAATACCTTGGCGAAGGCCAAGCGATCCCCAGACATTGTAGAGCCAAGGTGTTGGCGTCGGAGAATGACTCGGATGGCAGGTATGTGTTTCTCAAATGGACTCTAGATGGGGTTTGGTACACAGCCACAAATTTTTACTTACCTAATGTGGCGCAGGTTCCCACATGCTTACGGTTCTTGTGACTACTGGAGAAATTTGCTGAGGGCCACATCATCCTTGGGGGTGATTTTAATCTAGTTATGGACCCCTCTGTGCATTCCTTCTGCAGAAGGAATGCACAGCTCTGAAGCACCATCTTACTCACATACTATTGTTTGATTTATGGTGTACATTACACCCCACGGAGAGAGATGTTAAGTTTTATTCTCCTGTCCACAGAAATATGCTGCATTCAGGGATCAGAGGATCATAGGCAATTTGGTCATCAGAAGCGATCTTGCCACCATCAGTAAATATGGCAAAGAGGTTTTTATTCAGCACATCATAAAGTGCCACATTTTGGATTCCCTCTGGGATGGTGGCAGTATATTTGCCATTTTACTCTTTATCAGAGATCTAATAGGGTGGCCACCCAACAGTGGTCCCTATCTTTGATTCTCCAAGTCCTGGGGTCCTTTTGCAAGCATATTTCCCCCCAATCTCACTCCATCCATGTTCAACTTAAGGGAGAAATATCTCCATTGAAGACTGCCCCATTTCCTCCTTTTCACTGCCAGCACCCCCCACCATGTTCATACTCTTATTGCTTCTCTGCTTACTGGTACCTCATTGTATTTTGCATGATGATGGAAGGCTGGGACAGCCTTTTGGGCAAAATAATGGTAGCTGCGTACTTGGAAACAGAATGGGATATCCCATCCTAAGCCCTCCCTTTTATTATTAACCCTCACAGTAACCTAAACACTAACATTTCCTTAAA